AGTCCTCTCTTCCTGAGGTCCTTGACCCTGCGTCTGACCGCGCTCGTGCTGCCAGTCCCACTGTCTCTTGTCTCCTCGCCACTGCTGTCACTGACCCTTCCTTTGAGTCTGCTGCTGCGTCTGCTCTCGTTGCTGAGCTGCTTGACTTTGCTGCTGCCTGCAGTCTCGACTACGCCACTGCTCTAGATGCTGAGTCTGTGTCTGCCAGTCCTCCGTCCGTCGGGAGTGAGTGTGCTCTTGGCACGGACGTCCTTGAGGACAGGCAGGAGGACTTTGAGTGTCTTGCAGCTGCTGTACCTCGTTTCTCTTCCATGCTGCTTGCCCCTGAGGGAGACCCGGATGCTCCAGACATCCCGACCCCGCGCTCTTACGCAGAGGCGATTACGGGTCCTTACTCCTCTCAGTGGCAGGCAGCTATGGATGCCAAGATGGCATCCTGGAAGTCCACACGCACCTACATCGATGAAGTTCCCCTGTCTCGGGCAAACATTGTCGATGGCATGTGGATTTTCAGGGTGAAGCGGCCGCCGGGTTCTCCGCCTGCCTTCAAGGCGCGTTACGTTGCTCGAGGCTTTAGTCAGTGACAGGGAGTTGACTACTTCCAGACCTTCTCCCCCACACCGAAGATGACTACTCTTCGGGTGTTGCTGCACGTCGCTGCTCAGCGTGACTACGAGTTGCACTCTCTGGACTTCAGCACAGCTTTCCTGCAGGGCAGCCTGCACGAGGAGATCTGGCTGCGCCGACCACCTGGTTTCAGTGGGACGTTTCTTGCAGGTACCCAGTGGAGCCTCCGGCGGCCAGTCTACGGTCTCCGCCAGGCGCCTCGCGAGTGGCACGACACACTGAGGACTACACTTGCGGCTCTTGGGTTTGCTCCTTCCACTGCTGACCCGTCGCTGTTTCTACGCACCGACACGTCGCTGCCGCCGTTCTACGTTCTCGTGTACGTCGACGACCTCGTCTTTGCCACTGCTGACAGTGAGGCACTGACCCTTGTTAAGTCCGAGCTGCAGAAGAGACACACCTGCACTGACCTGGGTGAAGTGCGCATCTATCTTGGCCTGCAGATCACCCGGGACAGAGCACGGCGCACCATCACCCTAACTTAGTCACACATGGTGCACCAGGTCCTTCAGCGCTTCGGCTTCCAGTTCTCCTCGCCACAGCCCACTCCTCTGTCTACCAGCCACTCGCTCTCAGCTCCACCTTCGGACGAGTCCGTAGAGCCGAGTGGTTCGTACCCAGAGCTTGTGGGTTGCCTCATGTACCTGATGACGTGCACATGACCTGACCTCGCGTACCCTCTCAGCCTTCTAGCTCGCTACGTGGCTCCCGGAAGGCACCGAAAGGTGCACTGGGATGCTGCGAAGAGGGTATTGCGTTACTTGTGCAGTACGTCGGGCATGGGGCTCGTGCTTGGAGGACGGGGTCCAGTTGTCCTCACTGGTCACGCAGACGCTTCTTGGGTTGACGACTCAGCTACGCAGCGGTCGTCACAGGGTTACACCTTCAGCCTTGGTTCCGGCTCTGTTTCCTGGCGGTCTCCCGCTCGTCTTCAGTTCTTAGCTCCAATTGTGAGGCTGAGATCTACGCAGGGGCCATGGCTGCACAGGAGCTACGCTGGCTCACCTACTTGCTGACTGACTTGGGAGAGCAGCCTCGTTCGCCTCCAGTTCTGTACGTAGACAACAAGGCCATGATTGCCTTGTGTCAGGAGCACAGACTGGAGCACAGAACGAAGCACATCGTTTTGCGATACTTCCTTGCTCGAGAGTTGCAGCAGCGTGGCCAGCTTCGTCTTGCGTACGTGGCCACTCGGGCCAACACTGCTGATCTCTTCACCAAGGCACTTCTGCCTGGTGATCATCAGTGCTTTGCTACTGTATTAGGCCTTGTGCCTACTCTGCCTCACTTGCTTACTACTTCACTCTGCTTGTACTGTGATCTATATATATACCTGCATGCTTGCACTTGCTAGGGTATGATCACTGTATTGTTTGTTCTCTTTATATAACTCTACATTTGAACTGGCCTTGTGGGGTACAACCCAATTAGGGTTAGTACTTGTACCCAACTCTTTGCTAGTTCATTCATTCTTGTTCATTCTCTTGACATGGTTTCAGAGCAGGTCCTCCGCTAGGACCGGTTTTCCTTGGGCCTACCACTTCGCTACCCCACTAGCAGCCCCTAGCGACCCTCGTGTCGCCCCTCTGCCCGTCGCCATTAGGCTCGTTGCCCCTAGCCCGGCCCGTAGGCCCTAGCCAACGCGCCCCTAGGCCCGTCGCCCCTAGCCTGCGTGCCCGGCCCGTCGACACCCCTAGCCCGAGCGCCCCGGCCCCGTCGCCCCTAGCTCTCGCGCACGGCCCCGTCGACCCTAGCCCGCGCGCCCTTGCCCCGTCGACCCTAGCCCTCGCGCCCGGCCCCGTTGCCCCTAGCCCTCGCGCCCGGCCCCGTCGACCCTAGCCCGCGCGCCCTGGCCCTGTCGAACCCTAGCTCGCGCGCCCCGACCCGTCGACCCCTAGCCCGCGCACCCGGCCCCGTCGACCCCTAGCCCACGCACCCCGGCCCGTTGACCCCTAGCCTGCGCGCCCGGCCCCGTCGACCCCAAGCCCGCGCGCCAGGCCCCGTCGACCCTTAGCCCTAGCGCCCCGGCCCCGTCGACCCCTAGCCCGCGCGCCTAGGCCCTGTCGACCCCTAGCCCGCGCGCCCGGCCCCGTCGACCCCTAGCGCGCGCGCCCCGGCCAGTCGACCCCTAGCCCGCGCGCCCGACCCCGTCGACCCCTAGCTTGCGCACCCGGCCCTGTCGACCCCTAGCCCGCGCGCCCAGCCCCGTCGACCCCTAGCGCGCGTGCCCCGGCCCGTCGACCCCTAGCTTGCGCACCCGGCCCTGTCGACCCCTAGCCCGCGCGCCTCGGCCCGTCAACCCCTAGCCCGAGCGCACGACCCCGTCAACCCCTAGCCCGCGCGCCCGGCCCAGTCGACCCCTAGCCCGCGGGACGGCCTCGTCGACCCCTAGTTCGCGCGCCCCAGCCCGTCGACCCCAAGCCAGGGCGCCCCGGCCCCGTCGACACTAGCCTCCGCGCACCCGGCCCCGTCGCCCTGGGCCCTCGTTTCAGGCCCCGTGGCCCTTTGTTCCTGGCCCTGCGGCCCGTCGCCCCTAGGCCCCAGGCCCCTCGGCCCCCCTCGTTCCTGGCCCCACGGCCCGACGCCCCTAGGCTCCTAGCCCCTCGGCCCCTCTGCTGCTGCTGCTACTGCTGCTGCTACTGCTACTATTGCTCCTGCTGCTACTGCTGCTCCTCCTACGTGCTGCGCCATTATGGCTTCGCTTCGAGTTCTTGCGTTCGATCATGAGGGCAGACCGATTCAATTTGACACGTGGCTCGACGACCTGCAGCTGTAACTCCTGAGCGATCCGAAGGACAATATTTCGCTGTTTGACTTTGCGTCACGCGCCGCTACCGCCCCTCCAGCCACAGCTGACAGTGCGACTCGCTCACAGTGCTAACTCGTGACGCTGCTGCCCGCTTAGCCATTCGCAACCACCTGCCGTTAACCGAATGCGCTCACTTCGGACAGCACAGGACAGCACAGGCCCTGTACGATGCTGTAGTCGCTCGCTACTCCTCGCCTGCCACTGCTGCTCTAGGCCGACTGCTACTGACCTACCTGTTCCCCGAGCTGTCAGCCTTTGCCACAGTAGAGGACCTTGTTTCCCACCTGCGCACTAGCGATGCTCGCTACCGCGCTACTGTCCCTGCAGAGTTCCTTGACAGGAACCAGCCCCCGATGTTCATCACCCTATACTTCATAGTCACTCGCCTCCCTGACTCTCTTCGCTCTATCAGGGACCACTTTCTCTCCCTTGACCCCACCTCCCTCACTGTTGACCTACTCGAGCAGCACGTCCTCGCAGCTGAGACTAGTGCAGTTGCTGTAGGTGCTGCTCGTGGCACTCCGCGCCCGCCCTTCTTTGAGGGGTGCTCCCCCTCCCCCCTTGTAGCCTCCTACGCCTCTGCTGCTGCTGCAGACGTCACTGTTGCTGAGGACGTTGGGGCTGCTTCTGCTAGTGCGAAGCGCCGCAGCAGCAAGGGCAAGGGTTGCAGGGATGGTGGAGGTGGCAGCGGCGGTGTTTGAGGTGGCAGCGGGAGTGGTGGTGGGGGCAGCAGTGGAGGTGGTGGAGGAAGTGGAGGTGGTGGCGGCGGTGGGACTGGTGGCGGGAGTGGGGGCTCTGGTGGTTGCGGTGGAGGCAGCAGTGGGAGTGGCGGCAGTGGCGGCGGTGGGACTGGTGGCGGTAGGAATGGAGCTCGGCGTGGAGGCTCTGGAGGTGGCCAGTGGCAGCAGCAGCAGCGTCGGAGCGAGACCCAGTCGCCCCAGCAGCTTCGTGAGTGGTTGTTTCAGCGTGGGACGTCTGGGGGTAGTGATAGCTTCCCCTATGTCATTCGGACAGGTGACCATGCTGGTCAGACATGCGGGAGGTTTCACACTCAGCACCGCTGCTTCTCCCGCCTCGACAACACCCGGCGTGCTGAGTTTGGTGACGAGATCGAGCGCCCCCACTGGGCAGATCTGCTTACGTCTGGAGCTGCTATCTTTGACCTAGACTTTGATGCTATCCTTTCTGCTATGTATGCTTTGTCTGCTAGTGCTGAGGGTGACTGTTACCGGTGTGTGCCACCTGACCCAGGTATAGCGGCTGCTGCTCTAGGTGCTAGTGAGTCTGGTACTCTCCCTGGTTCTGCGCATGCTGAGGCCTTGCACACCTTCACGCTAGACTCAGGTGCCTCGCACTGTTTCTTTTGTGACAGCACCACCTTCACTCCTCTCTCTGCTCTTGTCCCAGTCAGACTGGCTGACCCCTCTAAGGGCACAGTCATTGCCCGTACATTCTGTCCTCCTCACCCTCCCCACCTCACATCATGCTCCTCACCACCCCCACTCACATACTGTCCCCCTCATCCCCCCTTCTTCACATCTTTGCTCGTCCCCCTCTCCCCTGCTCACATCTTGTCTTTAGCCGCCAGGTTGACCCAGAGCTGCAGCCCGTGCGTGGGACCCTCGCCAGGCATCTCTGAGTGCACCACGCCCCTGCCAGCTGTCATCCACTGATTGGCCACAGCACGGGCAGAGAGCAAGGGCAGGGCGGAAGGGATGGTGAGGGGATGGTTGCAAGCAGCTGGCATGGCATGGGCGCCCAGTTGTGAGACGAGCAGGGCAGGGCGGAGTGCAATGCATGGCTGTAGCCACTCACACAGCGGCTACACATGTACCTGTCACGCACATACACCTGCTACAGCACACTGCACGTCCCACCCACCTGCACCTCACCCCCCACCACACTACCCACCCAGCGCCCACCTGCACCTCACCCCCCACCACACTACCCACCCAGCGCCCACCTGCACGTCCCCTGCATGCAGCTGCCCCTTGTGGCCGTTAAAGTCCTCGTGCACGAACGAACCCTGCTCGCCCCCACGCACACAGGCAGGCACCAAGGGTGAGGGCGGTCATAAGAAGTGTCTGTCACGTGCTGCTCGTAAGGGAGAGGTGATAGCTAAAGGGAGGAGAAGGTCATTGTGAGGAGGTGCAATCAAATGTGAGAAACAATAATGGAAAGAAAGACGCAAGTTTTTTTGTTTGTTTGTTTTGTTTTTTTTTGTTTTTTGTTTTTTTTTTCACGTCTGGTCTAACCCTGTTGCTGACATGACACATGCCCTAGCAGGACAAGCGGTGAGAAACGATGTGATGACTAAAAGCCGGCAATACGATAATTGCAACAAAAGTAGGCGAACCACCTGAATCAGGTAGGAGACGGTTTCAAAGCCTCGGTGGGGGTGGTCTGGAAAGCCCGCCGCCGCGTCCGCCGCTGCCACGAGGCAGGCAAGGAAGAGAGGGGGCAAGGGGGCGAGGGGGGGCAGGGAGGAGAGTGGGGGCATGGGGGAGAGGCGGATGGGAAAACGGACGGGGGGGGGAATGGAACCCATGGCTTGGGCGCATGGCGGGCAGAGCAGGGCATAGAGGAGAGGAGGGGGGCGCATGACGGAGAGAGGGGGCGCGCACGACGGAGCGCGGGATTGAGTGCGATGGAGGGCGGGGGGGAGGCGGCTTACCCTTGAACTCGTCGAGCATGAGGAAGGGGTCCAGTTGCCGCAGCTCCGGCCTGTGCGCGCTCGCACCGCGGGGAAGCAGCGGGAGAAGGGCGCGGGATGCGGGCGGAAGGAAGAGAATTGGAGGTAAAGAGACAGGCGAAACAAGGTTTCACAATGCAACAGTTAAATCTGAGAGTTTCTTTTCTGCGAAGTACCTCTCGCAGCACGTCCCAATCCCCTTCTCCTCGCACCACTCTCCCCTTCTCTGCCCTAGTTCACCGCCGCACCCGCCCCCACTCCCATTGCCCGTCCCCTGCCAAGCCTCCCCATCTCCCGCCGCCCACACCACCCACCTGCCGATGCTGCGTCTGACGCGCGCCCCAGCGCCTTCCGCCTGCTCCCGAGACAGCAGCGTGCGCACGGCCTTCCTCGGCTGCCGAATCTCCGCCGCCTCTGCTCCCGCGCCCGCTGCCACACCTCCCGCTGCTGCTACTGGAGCTGCGGCGGCGACGGCGGCCATGGCGAACGTATTGGCGGGGGGAAATAGCTCAGGACGTACAGAAGCGATGGACGCTGGTAGTGTGACTCGCGCTACGGGGGTGGCGCCAGAAGATGCGGGAGTGCGGAACAGAAGGCGGAAGGAGCGGAAAGCCTTTGCCTCAAGAAGCGCGGAAATCATGGAAATGCGCGAAGACGGTAGTACTCGTTGCTGACTGGACGCCCGTTTTTGTGGATTTCAACGAAACGCATGGCGCGACGTGGTTAAATACCCAAGCGAATCAGTCGACAGCCATGGCTGAAGCAAGCGCTTCATGGGTCTACCGAAACCAGAGTTTCTTGGACACTTCGCGGAACGCACGCAGCTCTGAACGGAAGCCTCCAGACGAAACCGTCTTAGGCAGACTCGATATTAGACCACGGAAAAAATGTCCGAAAGGAGGAATACATGTCTCCATTTTTCTGTAGTATAGCATCGAGGACAAGATTTCTCATGTCTGAAAATCAGAGCATCAAACCATTTTGGTCTGAAAAAGTTGGGCCTGCTGCGAATCCTTGACAGATCCGCGAACGCTTTCGCAGGCCGCGAATGTGCACCGCCACTTTACAGCCCGAGTCTAGAATGGCATGGCATCCTTCAAGTTGGATTCGTAAAAGAACAAGGTAACTTGGTTGGGATGCAGATCTCTCGCGACCCACTGAAGCGCATGAATATGATTGGCCAACAGCACCGCAGTCAAAACAGTGACCTCCCTCACCAGGAAAATCGAAACCTCGGAACACTGTTCATACTTACTGAAACTTGAAACTCCTCACCTTTCTAGACTCCATACATAGTAACCTCTACCGCCCACACTTCCGATTAAGCAGAGAAGAAGCACGCCCATGACCTAGGACTCGCCTTATAAATCGGTAGCCATCACTCCCGAGCCACAGACTACTCCGATTGTTCGCATGCAGAGGCATAGAGGTTCCACTCCCTACGGCGCCAGCAGTACCACACCCTAGAATTTTCGCGCGTTACCTCGTTGCTTCTTCGCGACCCTCGATCGTAACACACTCTCCCGATCATTCATACATAATTCAGGAAGCATTTCCTCACACCCTACTCCAGTGCGAAGTGCGACGACTGCCAAAGTTTTTTTCTGGATTCAGGCTCGTTGTGTGGTTTGTTCCAAGTAACCGTGCCGCATCCATCTCCGTATCCCCCGCTTCGCCTCTTCCTCGCGATCCTCTCCTCCCCTTCCTCGCCCGCCGTCCGCGCGAATCTGACCCTCGTCGCCAGCACCTGCCGAGGCTGACCTCGCACGCCGGTTTGCACGCGATCCGTGCTCCGGTATATGGGCCTGCCGATGGGCTCCACCGGCCCTGCTACTGTCGGAGCACGCGGTGGTCGTCGGCCAAATGTGCTTATAACGGGTACACCTGGCACGGGAAAGACGTCGACGAGTCAGCTGTTGGCGGAGGCGACGGGTCTGCGACACGTGAACGTGGGCGACCTTGTGCGACAGAAGGAGCTGCACGACGGGTGGGACGACGAGTACGACTGCTTCGTGCTGGACGAAGATAAGGTAGCGACGAGCACCATGCGATGGACTGGGCCTGGATGAGCCGTACGACGAAGATGGGATTGCGAGTAGGGTTGCAACGCTGTGAAAGCAGAGTCGCTTCAGGGGTTTCGGGGTTTGAGCAATTGAAAGGAGTTGTGCTTCCACCCTTGCTCACACGTTCCCCTTCCCTGCCTTACCCTCTCCTCCCTGTCCCCTGTCCCCTCGCACCGCACCCCTTCCCCGTCAGCCTCTGCCTTCCCCACGTCCTCGGCCCCGACTGCACCACTTCCCCACACCCTCCCCATCCCTCCCTTTCTGCCCTGCTCTCCGCTCATCCTCACCTTCTCAGTCCATCCTCACCCTCTCCGCCCATCCCTAAGTCTCTCCGCCCATCCCTACCCTCTCCGCCCATCCCTAACTCTCTCCGCCCATCCCTACCCCCTCCGCCCATCCCTACCCTCTCCGCCCATCCCTACCCTCTCCGCCCATCCCTAACTATATCCGCCCATCCCTACCCTCTCCGCCCATCCCCACCCTCTCCGCCCATCCCCACCCTCTCCGCCCATCCCCACCCTCTCCGCCCATCCATACTCTCGCCCTCTACCGTCGCTCTCCCGTGCCCCACCTCAGATCTACTGCTGCTCAAAATCATTCCTTCAAACATCTCATCCCCTCCCCCTCCGTGCTGTTCCTCTGGGCGGGGGCGCGGGGAGCGCAGGTGGTGGACGAGTTGGAGGAGAGCATGAGCGCGGGGGGCGTGGTGGTGGAGCACCACTCATGCGACTTCTTCCCCGAGCGCTGGTTCGACCTCGTCGTCGTGCTGCAGACCGACAACTCCGTTCTCTACGACCGCCTGCACGCCAGGTGATTCACCTCCTTGTGTGTGCTCTCACACACTCTCTCTGCTTTCTCTCCCATCTCTCTCTCTCTCTCTCTCTCTCTCTCTCTCTCTCTCTCTCTCTCTCTCTCTCTCTCTCACTCTCTCGCTCTGTCTTTTCTTTCACTTCCTCTCTTTCTTCTTGACGATATTGTTGTCAAATCGCTTGGTGCTTGAGAGTTCTCACCTTGTGCATTTCTGACTGCAGTTCAAGCAATCAAGTATGTGCCCTCCCGTTATGCCCCCCTTCCCATTATGCATCCCTTCCCTTGGCATGTTCAAACTCGTCAGGGGGTACACAGGCAAGAAGCTGCAGAGCAACATGGAGTGCGAGATCATGCAAGTGCTGCTGGAGGAGGCCAGGGACAGCTACAAAGAGTCAATAGTGCACCCCATGCAGAGTGATTCGTTACAAGATATGGAGAGGAATGTTGCAACAATAAAACAGATGGTTGCACAGTTGGAAGAGGGCGGGTAGTAGAAATGAGTACAGTGTGCCATGCTTTGCCTTGTTACATTGGTATTTTTGTGGTGTAGCCTTGAATAATGTAGAATTTTCGAAAGAGGGTGCACCTGTCAAAAGCGTACTGTCATTCAAAGTCCATACGGTATCTCTCCAAGTTTTGAAACACCTTTCAAGCTTGCATCGCGGAATAACCACAACACAGCTTCTCTACCATCCCACTACTAGTTCACTTCCTACCAGTCCGCACACGCGCAATGCCCGCCGCTCCCCCGCAGTCCTGCGCGCTGCTCCCCCCTCTCCTCGCCGTCGGCGCGCTCACCTCTCTCGCGCTCGCCCTCGCCGCCCTCCACTTCTCCCTCCGCCGCCTCCTCCCCCCTCTGCGCGCGCTCAAGCGCGCCGCCGCGCTCTGCCTGCTCTACACGCTCATGCTCACGCTCCTCTCGCTCCCCGCACCCTTTGCGCCCGCCTTCAGCCCCTGCGCTTCCCCGCGCGCGGATAACAATGCCGCTTGATTCACATGAATCGCCTGAATCACCTGAAGGATCACCTGGGACGCCCAAGGAGGCACCTAAATCGCCTCAGAAGCTACCTCCGTTGCTTCAAAGGTCACCTGATGAGGAAGAGGAGGGGGCAGTAATGGAAGGGGGCGGGCACGGAAATGGGGGAGGAAACGAGGAGGGGAGAGAGGAGGGGAGAGGAGGGGAGCAGGCGGAGAGGATGGAGAGGATGGAGATTGATGTTGTTGAGGCGGTTGTGCGAGGGGCGACTGGTAATATTGATGTGATTGTACAGAACGATTCCAGTGGCACGGACGTGCATGCAGGTGGTGGTGGTGGTGGTGGTGGTGGTGGTGGTGGTGGTGGTGGTGGTGGTGGTGGTGGTGGTGGTGGTGGTGGTGGTGGTGGTGGTGGTGGTGGTGGTGGTGGTGGTGGTGGTGGTGGTGGTGGTGGTGGTGGTGGTGGTGGTGGTGGTGGTGGTGGTGGTGGTGGTGGTGGTGGTGGTGATGGGAGTGGGAGTGAGGGGGAGGGGAGGAAGGCAGGGAGTGGGTGGGAGAGTGCATTGGGGGGCAGGAGGCGGAGCATGCGTGCCAGTGCTGTGCTCGCCATGGCCAGGATTTCCGGTAAAGGGGCAGGCGCAGGCGGAGCAGGGGGGGGAGGAGGAGGAGGCAAGAACAGTAATCCCCATAATCACGCTCACTCGCACGCAAAGTCTCAGAATACTATTTCGGGAACAGTAGCAGGAGGGGGGAGAGGAGGAGCAGGAGCGGCAGCAGCAGCAACAGCAGGAGCGGCAGCAGGAGCAGCGGGGGGAGCAGGAGCAGCAGGAGCAGGTGACATGGACGTGTGTGTGGGTGAGTTAGCAGTGGTGAATGAACCGTTTGAACTCCAATTCAACTCCCGCATCTGCTCTCCCGCTGCTGCTCCTGACTGCGCTGCCGCTGCTCCTGCCACCGCCGCCGCTACTGTCACTGCTGCTGCCGGTACTGCTGCCGGTGCCAGTGCTGCCTGTGGTGGTGCTGGGAGTGGGAGCGGTGGAGCAGGGAGTCACTGTGCGAGTCAATCTAGAGCCGGATCCAAGTCGGGAGCGAGGTCAGGCGGAGGATCAGCAGGAGGGGCAGGTGAACCAGAGTATGGCAAGGACACGTTCCCCTGGTCTGTGATGGATCAGTGGTATTGGGAGTGGGGGCTCTATGGGTGGGACGATACCACCCAAGGGGGTGCTAGAGCGGGTGCTGCTAGTGCTGGCGGTGGTGGCTCTGGTGGTGGTGGTGTGTGTGGGGGGAGTATTCTGGGTGGGAAGAAAGGGATAGGGATTGGGACTGGGGGGAGATGGGGAGCAGCGGGAGGAAGCGGGGGCAGTTCGAGTGGGGGAGGAAGTAAAGGTGGGGCGAATGGGGAGGCGAAGAGTAAGGGAGCGGGGGATGTGGCGTGTAGGATCGGCGAGGGGATGGACATAGATGGGGTGGCTGGGGCGCAAGGGAGTGCGGTAACCGGGGTTACTGCGGTTACCGGGGTTACTGCGGTTACTCAGAGTACGGGAGTGACTGGGATAGATGTGGTTGCGAGGGAGGGAAGGGGCGGGAAAGGGAGTGATGGTGGTGATGTCTGTGATGGGGCTCCAGTTCTAGACGAGATAAAAGAGCAGCAGCAGAAAGAGCAGGGGGAGGAGAAGCAGAAGGAACAGCAGAAGATGCAGCAGCAGCAGCAAAAGCAGCAGCAGTTGCAGCAGCAAGAGGCGGCGGCACTAGACCCAAAGTACATCCTCCGGGGAGTTAGAGCCACGAAACAAACCACCAAGCCAGCAGCCCCCCACCCAGGCATGGTGGGCAGCCATCCCCCTCCCCCTGCACGGCCCACACCCACTGCTGCTGCTGCTGCTGCTGCTGCTGCTGCTGCTGCTGCTGCACCCAGCATTGCAGCAAGCGCCTCCGATGCAAGCACTGGCTCACCCACTGCCGCAACTGCTGTAGCAGCCACTGCCACACGCACCTCCCTCCCCCCCGCCCCCGTGGCCCCGCCGCCCCCCTGCTCCGTGTGCAAGACACCAGAGGACGCCACGTGTCTGCTGTGCGACGCCTGCGATGCCTGCTACCATCTGCGCTGCCTCAACCCGCCCGCTGAAGAGCCTCCAGCAGGGGACGAGTGGCTGTGCGAGGCGTGCGCGGAGGAGCAGTGGGAGCGCGGCAACGCTGTTGTGTTTCAGGATGAGGAGCTGTGGGCGCGCCGGCACATGGTGGGGGCGGATGCGGGGGGGAGGGGCTTGGGAGGCGGAAGAGGGGGGAACGGATTTGCGTGGGAGTATGATTGGGAAGCAGATGCGGAGGGGAGGGCGGGAGGGGCGAGGAACGGGGGAATTGGGAGGGGAGGAGCGGAAGATGGGAAGGGTGGTGGAGGAGAGAGTAGAGACAGAGGAGGAGAAAGAGGAGTGGGGGGAGGGGGAGGTGGGGAAGGGCAGGGGGGAGTGACAGGGAGCAACAGGCAGCAGCAGCAGAAGAAGCAGGAGGGGGAGGAGGAGGGGGAGGAGGAGGGGGTGCAGGTGAAGAGCCGGGGGGGCATGCGGCCGTTGAAGTCAGGGCCGGAGGGCCGGGGGCAGTGGTTGCTGCGCGGCGAGTGGCTGGCAGCGCAGGGCCACATCCGCGTGGGCCCCATGTTCCAGGCCCTGGTGGGCGAGTGGCAGGGGGATTCGGAGAAGATGGAGAGGGATGGGCGCGGCGTGGATGAGGAAGGGCTGTACGTGCTGCTGCTGCTGCTGTGCACCCCTTGCTTCTTCTTCTCTTCCCTTCTTCCCATCCCCTCTTCCTCCCTACTTTCCTGTCCATTCAATATCTCCCTACCCTCGCGCTACCAACTCTCGCATCCTCATCCTTTTGAATGCACATCTGTGCGTGTCCCTCTGTGTTTATCTATTCAGCGTTCACCCCTTAGGGCGTCAAGGCTGCTCCCAAGCCCAAAGGGGCTTCCAGGCTGCTCCCAAGCCCAAAGGGGCTTCAAGGCTGCTCCCAAGCCCAAAGGGATGAACCCTGAACCATCTCTGCTTCTCTTCCCCCCACCGCTTCTGGTTCTGTCCTTCCCACGCCCTTCTTCTTGTCCCTCCCCGCCCTGCTTCCTTCCGCTCCCCGCTTTGCTTCCCTCTCCTCCCCCCTACTTCCCCTCCCCGCCCTGCCTGCCATCCCTTGGAGCAGCGAGCGGCCTGTGTTTGGGCAGGAGCGGGCGTTGAGCGAGGAGGAGAAGGAGGCGGAGCTAGAAGCCATGAGGCAGCGCCTGGCAGAGGTACGAACTCTGCTGGCTGTGCAGGTGTGTGGTTGTTGCATGCATGCATGACCGATGGGACTAGCAGCTGCAATGCAAGCATACAACCACATCCCCTCCTCCTTCGTCTCTCCCCCTCCTCCTCCTCCTCCTCCTCCTCCTCCTCCTCCTCCTCCTCCTCCTCCTCCTCCTCCTCCTCCTCCTCCTCCTCCTCCTCCTCCTCCTCCTCTCCCCTTGTTATCTGCCAGAGCAAGTGGCCCATGGACTGGCAGCCGGTGCGCAACCTGCCCGTGGCAGCGGAGGAGCGGTGGGAGCAGTGTGAGGGGATTCTCTACGATGAGGGTGATGTGCGCGCGGATGGCAAGATTGCCCGCAGGGATGTGCAGTGCGGCAAGTGGCGCAGGTGAGGATGTGGAGTGCGGCAAGTGGCGCAGGTGAGGATGTGGAGTGCGGCAAGTGGCGCAGGTGAGGATGTGGAGTGCGGCAAATGGTGCAGGTGAGGATGTGGAGTGCGGCAAGTGGCGCAGGTGAGGATGTGGAGTGCGGCAAGTGGCGCAGGTGAGGATGTGGAGTGCGGCAAGTGGCGCAGGTGAGGATGTGGAGTGCGGCAAGTGGCGCAGGTGAGGATGTGGAGTGCGGCAAGTGGCGCAGGTGAGGATGTGCAGTGCGGCAAGTGGCGCAGGTGAGGATGTGGAGTGCGGCAAGTGGCGCAGGTGAGGATGTGGAGTGCGGCAAGTGGCGCAGGTGATGAGGTGGAGTGCGGCAAGTGGCGCAGGTGAGGATGTGGAGTGCGGCAAGTGGCGCAGGTGAGGATGTGGAGTGCGGCAAGTGGCGCAGGTGAGGATGTGGAGTGCGGCAAGTGGCGCAGGTGAGGATGTGGAGTGTGGCAAGTGGCGCAGGTGAGGATGTGGAGTGCGGCAAGTGGCGCAGGTGAGGATGTGGAGTGCGGCAAGTGGCGCAGGTGAGGATGTGGAGTGCGGCAAGTGGCGCAGGTGAGGATGTGCAGTGCGGCAAGTGGCGCAGGTGAGGATGTGGAGTGCGGCAAGTGGCGCAGGTGAGGATGTGGAGTGCGGCAAGTGGCGCAGGTGAGGAGGTGGAGTGCGGCAAGTGGCGCAGGTGAGGATGTGGAGTGCGGCAAGTGGCGCAGGTGAGGATGTGGAGTGCGGCAAGTGGCGCAGGTGAGGATGTGGAGTGCGGCAAGTGGCGCAGGTGAGGATGTGGAGTGCGGCAAGTGGCGCAGGTGAGGATGTGGAGTGCGGCAAGTGGCGCAGGTGAGGATGTGGAGTGCGGCAAGTGGCGCAGGTGAGGATGTGGAGTGCGGCAAGTGGCGCAGGTGAGGATGTGGAGTGCGGCAAGTGGCGCAGGTGAGGATGTGGAGTGCGGCAAGTGGCGCAGGTGAGGATGTGGAGTGCGGCAAGTGGCGCAGGTGAGGATGTGGAGTGCGACAAGTGGCGCAGATGAGCGGCGCACAGAGGGGGGGACGAGGTGGGCGGAAGAGTTGGAGGGGCTGATGATGGAGGGGCGATGGTGGAGGGGCGATGGTGGAGGGGCGATGGTGGAGGAGCGATGATGGAGGGCGAACTGGGAGGGCGAACTGGGAGGGCGAACTGGGAGGGCGAACTGGGAGGGCGAACTGGGAGGGCCCACGCCAGGGCATTTGGGGAGGAGGTGGGAAGGGAGGGAGGGAGGGGGAAGAAGAGGCGGGTGGGATGGAGCAATGGGTCAAAATTGATTGCTGTGACAGTGTGAGTGAAGTGACATACTGACCCCGTGTTTCCATGTCAGGGCATTGAGCGGGCTCCAGTGAGAGGCCTAGCTTGAAAGTGCACTCTAGAAGCCCATCTCATTCGCTGTTGCCCACTGTTGTGTGTGCATGCACTCCCATCACCACACACCACCACCCACCACCACCCACCACCACCCACCACCACCCATCACCACCCACAATGGCCCACTATGACGAGCATGGCATGGCAGGGTGCCAAGTGGGTTTGAGGTGGAGGACAAGTTTGAGTGCTCCTGTGCGCTCACCTTCGACCCTCACCATGCAGACTGTATGGTGCCACAGGTGCGTGCGCTTGTCTGTGCATGCTTATGCATTTGTGCACGCGTGTGTGAGTGTGTGCATGCGCGTGTGTGGGTGCATGTCTGCAATTTCCTCCTCTTCTCCTCTCCGCTCCTCCTCTCCTCCTCTCTCTCTACCGCGTATTGTGCAACAGGTGCATCTGCCACACCCCCCACTTTCCTCCTTTTCCCTTTTCTCCTCCCCACATCCCAACATCCTCCTAACATCCCCTCCTCCCCACGTCTCTTCTGCCCCACGTCCCCACGGAGTGGAGCAGGAGCTACCAAAGAGGGACTTGGAGAGGCGGCTCAAGATGATTGCGGACCTCAAATTGCAGGTCGCCTCCCATGCCACCTCCCATGCCATCTCCCATGCCATCTCCCATGCCACCTCCCATGCCACCTCCCATGCCACCTCCCATGCCATCTCCCATGCCATCTCCCATGTCACCTCCCATGTCGCCTCCCATGTCGCCTCCCATGTCGCCTCCCATGTCGCTTCCCATGTCGCCTCCCATGTCACCTCCCATGTCGCCTCCCATGTCACCTCCCATGTCACCTCCCATGTCACCTCCCATGTCACCTCCCATGTCACCTCCCAGGCCACCTCCCATGTCACCTCCCATGTCACCTCCCAGGTCACCTCCCAGGTCACCTCCCATGTCACCTCCCATGTCACCTCCCAGGTCACCTCCCATGTCACCTCCCATGTCACCTCCCATGTCACCTCCCATGTCACCTCCCATGTCACCTCCCATGTCACCTCCCATGTCACTCTCGCAACCCTCTCTCGCTATACTAACTCTGATCTGAGATAGATTTCTCAGACGAATTAATATTTAAGATGGTATCAGAGCTCAAATTGTAGATCCGCTGTCACTCTGTGAACCTTCCCTCACTATGTTAACGTTCTTTTGAGATTCGTTTGATAAAACCATTAATCAGGAGACTCTTTTTGTTATTTGTTATTAATCTCTTCCTTTCTTGCTTCCATCACTGCTTCCATCACTGCTTCCGTTCCCTTTCTTCTTGGATTGCCGTCCTCTAACTTCCCACCCTTTCCCCCACCTTTCACCGTGCAATCCGATCGATTCTCGCAGAAGCAGCAGCAGGGGGCGGAGATGGGCGAGTGGAAGGAGCGCACGGGGGAGCTGAGGGCGTTCAGGGCGCACCACGGCCACTGCCACGTGGCCCCCAGGAGCCCCCTGGGCGTGTGGCTGCAGAAGCAGCGCATGTTGCTGCGCCGCAACCGACTCTCACCCGTGCAGCGGGTGCGTGGCCGGGTGGGCGCGTGGGCGGGTGGGCGGTTGGGCACGTGGGCGGGTGGGCGGGTGGATTGGTGGGAGTTCCTCTTTTATCCTCCAGTCCAACTCTCCTCGCCCTTACATCCCCTACTCTGTGCTACTCCCTCCTTTCCTCGTCTTCCCTCTCCCCTCCATTTCTTCCTCCTCCTTCTCACCTTCTCCTCCACTTACTCATCATATTCTCCTCTCCAACCCCTTAACCCCCCCCCCCCTTTTCTCCCCCTATGGCGATGACAGGAGGAGGTGCAGCAGCTGAACGTGACGATCAACCTGGAGGATGCGCGGTGGGAGGAGAACTTTGCGGCTCTCGTGGACTTCAAGCGCGACTTTGGCCACCTCAACGTCTCCAACGCGCCACACGCGCACACCAACACTGCCCCGCCTCCCGCCGCCGCTTCCGCTTCTGCTGCTGCTTCTGCTTCTGCTGCTGCTTCTGCTTCTGCTGCTGCTGGTGATGGTGCCAGTGCTGGAGCAGGGGCAGGGGGAGGGGGAGGAGGAGGGAGGGCAGCAGGAGGAGCTGCTGCTGCTGTTGCTGCTGCTGCTGCTGCTGCTGGTATCAGTGGCGGTGGCGTTAGCAGCAGCGGCCAGCAGCAGGGAGGAGGGAGGCTGAGGCGAGCACAGGACTTGGCGCGGCTGAACCAGTGGGTGAAGGCCCAGAAGGCCATGGCACAGCAGCCGTTCAAGGGTAAGAAGGCACTACAGCGGATCTGCAGGCTGCTGGAGATTGGATTTGTTTTTTCGGAGGGCGATTCCTCCTCTTGAAGGGCGACCATGGCTGTGTGCCGCTGAGTGCTGGTAGCACTGGTGCCAGTGTAATCATGGGTCGAATTATTCGCCAAACTTGTTTCCAGGACAGAACTGAAGTCTGTTGGATGGAATGGAACTGATGGTAGATTATGGTCGAGCAAATCTGCACATGGTGTGGCTGGAAATGGTTGCTTATATTTGTGAGATCTTAAGGTGCAAGGTGAATGGTCGACTAGTAAGGGAAGGGGGATTGTTGTAAGGAAGTTATCATTCCTTACCGCGCATCTCAACATTTCGTACATGACCAGCCGCTTCTTCGCCCATTACTGCTACCGTATCACCCCGGATAGAAGCGCAGGCCTATTATAAGCGCATGCGCTTCTATCTTGAGCAATGCGCTTATGGCCGATCCTCAATTATAAGCGCACCCCCTGTGAAAACGTTACTTATTATAAGCGCATGTACAAATTAAAATTAAAATTTCTGTTCGAAACGGTAGCGAGTTTCAATTTTGAAGCGAGTACAATCTCATTTTCGCTGAGTTTGACTCTCGAAGACCTGACTGGCTGCGCGTCCAGTCAGGATGTGCTGGCATGACTGCAAATTGTTGCATCTTGGCCCCTGTGTGCTGGAAGAGAATCGCTTGCAGGAGATTCTGCATTGTGACGCGAAAATTTTCGACTCGGTTGAAATGGCAAGAGTGAAACATACAATTTGGTGTCTTAAATTTATAAATTCGTATATGTCATTATATAAGCGCATGCGCTTATAAAAATGACTCAATTAGAAGCGCACCCCCCTAAAAAACTCTGTTTTATTATAAGCGCAGGTGCGCTTCTATCCGGGGTAATACGGTAACGGTGTTTAGCCGCCTTCGCACGCTACATTTCCCAAACCATGCATCGCTGGCCTGGCCTGAGTTGGCCTACGCTTCACGGCTAGCCCGAACCTCGCTGCCAGTATACCACTAGCTAGATTGCACGCACCCTGTTACCGTTTGCATGTTTTGCTTATAAGTATTTGCTTTTGCCTTCGCTCATACTTGTACTCTCTGAACTTCGCTACAGGGAGTTACCGTATTACCCTGGATAGTAGCGCATATGCGCTAATAATAAAATCAGTTTTTTTAAGGGGGGCGCTTGTAATTGAATATCGGCCATACGCGCCGGCGCTTATATAACGACAAATACATGAATACAACTTAAACGCACCAAATTGTACATCTCCGATTCGTAAGTTGAATCGAATCGAAATTTTACAGGGTCCAGAATCAGAATCGCGCGAGAGCGATTTTCTGACGGTGCACTGAGCTTTGACACATCATTTTTCCCGCATACTGACTGGACGCGCAACCAGTAGGTCCTCGAAAGTTAAACAAAGTGAAAATGGGGGTGTTGATGTCAGAACATATAGCTCATTCATTCCTTGTTTCTTCTCATGGTATCGAGCAGGTTCCCCTGTGGGAACTGTTCCTAGGGCCCACCGTTTTTTTCCTGCCCGGAGCGCACTCAGCCCCTGCCCGAGTCGCGCTCCCCTCTCTCGCGCCGCCCTAGCGGCCCCTTAGCGCCGCCCTCGCGGCCCCTTCGAGCCGCCCTCGCGGCTCTATCCGCCGCCCTTCGCGGCCCCTACTCCGCCGCCCTCGCGGCCCCGATCCGCCGCCCTCGCGGCCCCGATCCGCCGCCCTTCGCGGCCCCGATCCGCCGCCCTCGCGGCCCCTTCTCCGCCGCGCTCGCGGCCCCTATCCGCCGCCCTCGCGGCCCCGCTCCGCCGCCCTCGCGGCCCCGATCCGCCGCCCTTCGCGGCCCCGATCCGCCGCCCTCGCGACCCCGCCCCGCCGCCCTCGCGGCCCCGATCCGCCGCCCTTCGCGGCCCCGATCCGCCGCCCTCGCGGCCCCTTCTCCGCCGCGCTCGCAGCCCCTACTCCGCCGCCCTCGCGGCCCCGATCCGCCGACTTCGCGGCCCCGATCCGCCGCCCCAGCGGCCTCCGGCCCCTGCTCCTACGGCCCCGGCGCCTGCTCCTACGGCCCCCGTGCCTACTCCTATGAGCAGCCCACCCGCCGAGCCGCCCAGCAACCGAGCAGCCCAGCCGCTGAGCCGCCGAGCCGCCCAGCAACCGAGCTGCCCAGCCGCCCAGCAGCCGAGCCGCCCAGCCGCCGAGCCGCCCAGCAGCCGAGCCGCCCAGCAGCCGAGCCGCCCTGCCGCCGATCCGCCCAGCAGCCGAGCCGCCCAGCAGCCGAGCCGCCCCGCCGCCGAGCCGCCCAGCCGCCGAGCCGCCGAGCCGCCCAGCAGCCGCGCCGCCCAGCCGTCGAGTCGCCGAGCCGCCCTGCAGCTGAGCCGCCCGAACCGCCCTGTCCGGTAAGAGCAGCGCCTCTCTCACAGCACTGCCCTCACCCTACTGTTTGCACTGCTAGTCTACTGCTGTCATGGCTACCCCTAGTGTCCTCGCTTTTGACGCTGAGGGTCGGGCCATTGACTTTGACGTCTGGATAGATGACCTGCAGCTTTTCTTACAGTGCGACAGAGCAGACGGCCTCTCCCTCTTTGACCTCACTTCTGGTGCCTCTCCTGCCCCCGCTGCTGATGCTGACGCCACTGTTCGCTCACAGTGGGCCACGCGCGATGCTGCTGCACGTCTTGCTGTGCGTCGCCACTTACCTACCTCTGAGCGTGCGCACTTTAGCCAGTACAAGAGTGCTCAGACCTTGTACGACGCTGTAGTTGCACGCTACTCCTCCCCTACCACTGCTGCACTGAGCCGCCTCATGCTACCGTACCTCTTCCCTGACCTTGCTGCCTTTCCCACAGTCGCTGACCTCATTACGCACCTCCGCACTAGTGACACTCGCTACCGCGCTGCGCTTCCTGCTGAGTTCTGCGCCAAGAACCCCCCCCCCATGTACATCACCCTCTACTACATAGTCACCCGTCTCCCTGACTCCCTTCGCGTAGTCAGGGACCGCTTCCTCTCGGTTTGTCCCACCACTCTCACAGTTGACCTCCTTGAGAAGGCCCTCCTAGCAGCAGAAAAGAGCATAGTCGCTGTAGGAGCCTCTCGTGGTGACCCTCGCACCCCCATCTTTGAGGGGTGTTCCCCCTCCCCTCTTTTGCCCTCTGTTGCCTCGGCTGCTGCGGCCGACCTCGCTGGTTTCGAGTCGGTTGGGGCAGCGTCTACCCCTAGCGGGAGACGCCGCCCTGGCAGGGGCAAGGGGGGCAGGGGCGCTGGAGGAGCTAGCGGGGGCGGTGGAGGCGGCAGTGGAGGCGGTGGAGGAGGTGGGGGTGGCGGTGGGGGTGGTGGCGGGGGTGGAGGTGTAGGTGGCGGCAGTGGAGGCGCAGGCGGCAGCGGCGGTGGCGGAGGGAGCGGAGGTGGCGGCGGTGGAGGAGGAGGCGGCGGAGGAGGTGGAGCTGGTCGGGGTGGCGCTGCGCAGAGGGTCAGCTCCGGTGGTGGTCAGCGCTAGCAGCAGCAGCAGCAGCAGCAGCAGCAGCAGCGCACTCGTGACGTCCCCTCCCCTCAGCAGCTCCGTGAGCGGTACACTGCACGCCAGAGGGGTGGGGGTACTGGTCCGTGCACCTACGTCCTGCGCACCGGCGACCGCGCGGGTGAGCAGTGCGGGGGTGCGCACTCCACCCAGCGCTGCTTTGGCCGCCTGACGGACGCTTGGCGTCACCAGTTCCCTGAGGCCACTGAGATCCCCCGCTGGGGTGAGCTGTCTAGGGCGGGTGTAGCTGTCTTTGACCTTGACTTTGATGCTATTCTTGCTGCCATGTATACTGTGACTATTAGTGATGAGGGTGACTGTTACCGGTGTTTTCCGCCCGACCCGGGCATTGAGACTGCTGCTCTAGGTCCTGGTGAGGCTGCTGCTCTAGGTGCTAGCGAGGCTGCTGCTCTAGGTGCGTCTGCTCCCTCAGGTACTGGTGAGTCTGCTCTCTCAGGTTCTGCGTCGGCTTCGGCCTCCCACACCTTTACCCTTGACTCGGGGGCTTCTCGCTCCTTCTTTCGAGACCGCACCACACTCACGCCACTTGGCCGGCCAGTTGCGGTCTCTCTGGCAGACCCCTCTGGGGGTCCTGTCCTTGCTCACTTCTCCACTGTCCTCCCGTGTCCGGCGGCCCCCTCTGGCACCCTGTCTGGTCTTTACCTCCCCTCGTTCTCTACGAACTTGGTGAGTGGTGCTGACCTACAGGATGCGGGGGTTCACCAGTTCACTCCTGCGAGTCAGCGGGTGACCCACTGCACGGACGCTCGGACAGGCCGACACCTGGCCACGTTTACACGTCGGCCGGGGTCGAGCCTGTACACACTGACCACTGCGTCTCCTCCGGTCCCTGCGTCTGGTCAGGTAGCTGCGTCGGGTCAGGTGTTTGCTGCAGCGTCCAGGTCTGGTCCTGAGTCTGCCCCCTGCTCGTGTCGCCTCCTGTCTCACGAGACTCTCCTCTGGCACCACCGCCTTGGTCACCCCTCCCTGCTTCGTCTCCGGAGCATGGCCTCCCGTGTCCTTGTCTCTGGTCTTCCCCGGTCCCTCCCTCCACTTCCTCCGGGGCCTGGCCCTACCTGCGTCCCCTGTGTCGAGGGACGACAGCGGGCTACCCCTCACTCCTCCCAGTTTCCTCCGACAGAGGCCCCGCTGCAGACGCTTCACATGGACGTGTGGGGCCCGGCCCGCGTCCGTGGACAGGGTCACGAGCGCTACTTCCTGCTGGTGGTTGACGACTACTCGCGTTACACCACAGTCTTCCCCTTGCGCAGCAAGGGTGATGTCACTGAGGTGTTGATCGACTGGATCCGCGCAGCTCGTCTCCAGCTCAGGCGGAGCTTCGGCTCGGACTTTCCTGTTCTGCGTCTGCACTCTGACAGAGGAGGAGAGTTCTCCTCTGGCCTTCTGCGAGCCTACTGTCGTGCACGAGGCATCCGCCAGACCTTCACGCTTCCGGACTCTCCACAGCAAAATGGGATTGCTGAGCGCCGCATTGGCATGGTCATGGACGTCGCCCGTACGTCCATGATGCATGCGGCT